GGTTTTTTTAAATTTTTTGTATGAAATGGTATTGACAATGTACTTCTATGAAATAATATTAACAATGTGCTTTTATGACATGGTATTAACAGTGTACTTCTATAACATGGTATTAACAATGTACTTCTATGAAATGGTATTAACAATGTGCTTCTATGAAATGGTATTAACAGTGTACTTCTATGAAATGGTATTAACAATGTACTAAGGTTCGATGGAGAAGGGTTGTAAGGAAAGCTCCTTGATTTTCGCGATATTTTTTTTTAAATTTGGGTTTTTGAAAAAAATTTGGGTTGGGCTTGTTTTGAGTTTTTTTTGAGTTTTTTGTGTTGGGCTTGTTTTAAGTTAATTAATGGTAGAGATGTAATATATAGGAACTTCAACACTCATTTATTATGTAGTAAATGGTTTTTGGGTATGTTTATAAAGTGCATTCCATGTGGGGTTTTTTTTATAATTTCAGCCCTTATTTTGGGTATATTACTAAAGATCCCTAAAATGTAATGGTAGGACCAAAGCGACGATTAATAAAGAGTTGGTGGACCATTTGAATGAATAATTTAGTTTATGGACCAAAATGTAAATCGAGTACAAATTTGAGGACCATTTGAGTAATTTACCCTTTATTTTTTGTGTCTATCTCTCTGCTCACACAAACGACACACGATTACATTGAGAAAATGACTATTTTATTTGTTAGATAATGCATTGTAGAATGCTAATAGAGGTAGTGTGCTAACGAGGACAACAATGGTGAAAAATATTAGTGATGATGTAAGAACTCAAAATTTTATGATTAATTATACAATAGTCTCACAAACTAGAAGATGACCCCACAAACATAAATGAAAATAGTAGAAAATTCTAGACAAGAGCCACAATATACTCCGGCTAGAATTACATGTTGAAGTCGGTTTGCTATACAACCGACCTATCTAGTGGGTTCAATAATCTATAAATAGGCATTAAACCTACTCATTGTAATTAAGCTAGAAGCTAGCAACCTAAACTAATAAGACTAAGAGCATCCGCAATGATGCTCTCTATTTCTTAGCTAAAAATATAAGAAAGCTATTTTAGGAGCTCTCTAAAAAATTTCAACTCCAACCATACTCCCTAATTTGGAGAGTCATAAATGCTATAACTCTTTTTTGATTGGTCCATCTCTATTAAAAAAAAAAAAAAAGTTAGCATTAAATAAAGGTTTGAAATACTCATTAAATAAGACAGCATTAAATTATAGGGAGCCCCTAAGAGTACTTTCTCTCTCCTCAGATTTAGGAGCTCCTAGAGGACTCCCTATTTTAGGAGGTGGATAGGGAGCATGGTTGGAGTTGCATTTTTACAATTCCTCCCTAAAATTTGTCTAAGGAGGTGGTTTATGGAGCCCATTGCGGATGCTCTAATAAGTTAGCTATCTAGCTAATTAACTCAAGGTGGTGAGAATTAGCCAAGAGTGTTGTGTGGAAACACTCCAAGACTTTGTCGTTGATGAACTATACAACGACACACACACAAACCCCTTGAGAATAAAGTACACATACAAACTCCTTTGAGAATAAAGCGCACACACCACGAAGAGAATAAAACAAACACACAAGAACACAAAGATTTATAGGAGTTTGGCCTCGTGTCTACGTCATCTTGGGGATCCACCCAAGAAATTCACTAGTATATGTAAAAATGACTTTGGTTACAATCTAGAACCCCTTTAGCTCTCACAAGAACCCTAACTTTCTTTTCTCTCACCCTTACTCAAACCCTCTAATGTCCTTGTAAATACCCTAGAATTCCTTCTTGAATTCTCTTTTCTCTCACCCTTACTTCATAAAATTCCAACAAGTGATTGAACTGATGGTTATGATTGGAGAAGAGATTGAACTGATAAGGCTTGACTGAAAGAGATAGGAGATACACTTGGTATATTATAGTACTTTGGGACTTGGGAGGAAAGGCACAGAGGGCTTTAAAAAAAATGTGTCCAGTTTGTGTAGTCAATGATTTACAATAGATTAATCTGTCAGTTCTAAACCTAGCCTTTGAAAATGTATACTTTTTGGTTTTGTTCTCTCTCTTATTTGGCTCCTAATGAAGAAGAGTAGTGATAATCTAATCTCCTCTCCTTGTACCCTTCAAAACAAGGAGGTTTGTATTTATTTTATTTTTGTACATACATAATTTATTTAACTGAATCTTAAAGGGCCAAGGCTTGTATCTTCTTCCCAAT